TATGTCAATATAGCTAAAAATTTTAAGCTTTGTAGTATCCAAGTCTACCACTACACAATTTAAGCCATAAAGTTACTTCCAAGCATTTTGATAACCTTTGTTTACAATACATAGAAAGTAGGAAAAAATGTTGATCTATCAATTGAGTATTAACAATATACAGAGCACTGATCTCACCACGGAGTTAGGTGACTACTTAAGAAGGGAGCGAAGCTATTTTAGTGGACGCAGAGCAAGAACAATAGGAGTTACTAATTTATAGAATGCAGGGGTAGAAAGGCCTCCAAAAGCCAGCCTTACCATTTTATTTAAGAATTGGACAATTATTTCCAGTAGGACATGATCTCACTCATCTAGGGGAAATGGTGAACAACATAGACTGATGAACAAGAACAGACCCAGAGATAAGGAGCCATGGGTCAGACTGTTGGACCTCAGAGGGAGGGAGGGGATAAAAGGGAGAGATCAACCAAAGGACTTGTGTGCACACATATGAGCCTAACCAGTGGTCAAGGGCAATAGGGGGTTGGGGGCATGAGTGGGGAGGGGTGAGGGATTGGAATGGCGGTGATGAGACAAATAAGTGATACCTTAATCAATAAAGAAATTAATTTAAAAAAGAAATTGAAGAACTTACCCAGCTAGTGTGGGTCAGTGTTTGAACATCACCCTATGAACCAGAAGATCAACATTCAATTCCCAGTCAGGACATATGCCTGGGTTGTGGGCTTGAGCCTCTCTCATTGATGTTTCTATCTCTTCCTCCATTCTCTTCTGAAATCAATAAAAAAATTAAAAAAGTATATTTAGCGGAAACCGGTTTGGCTCTGGGGATAGAGCGTCGGTCTGCGGACTGAGGGGTCCCAGGTTCGATTCTGGTGAAAGCCATGTACGTTGGTTGTGGGCACATCCCCGGTGGGGAGTGTGCAGGAGGCAGCTGATCCATGTTTCTCTTTCATCGTGTTTTTTTTTCTAGCTCTCTATTCCCTTCCCTTCCTCTCTGTAAAAAATCAATAAAATATATTTTAAAAATATATGTATATTTTTAAAAAGAATTGAGAGATTTTTATGGAGGACTTGCTGCTTTCCCACACTGCCAGTATTATTGGAATAAATGCTCATATAAAAATAAAAAGAGCCGAAACCGGTTTGGCTCAGTGGTAGAGCGTAGGTCTGCGGACTGAAAGGTCCCGGGTTCGATTCCGGTCAAGAGCATGTACATTGGTTGCGGGCACATCCCTGGTAGGGGGTGTGCAAGAGGCAGTTGGTCGATGTTTCTCTCTCATCGACGTTTCTATCTCTCTATCTCTCTCCCTTCCTCCTCTCTATAAAATATCAATAAAATATATAAAAAAAAAAGAAAAAGAAAAAAAAAATAAATAAAAAGAAAAAGAAAAGTAAAGGAATTGAAGAACTTAAGGCTCAAAGAGTTTGAGAGTCGCACACAAAGTTAGCGGCAGAGCTGGGTCTAAGACTCTTATCTTAAAAAATGACAACCAAGGATCAACTAGAACCATGACACTGTAACTGTGGTACCACCTGAAGGAAAACTCACCTGGATGAGCAGAGGCCAAGGCTCCACTGTTGAGGCCGAGCTTCCCTCTGCTTCTTAAAGTACAGCCGCCAGCGCCCTCGCCAGTGTGGCTCAGCTGGTTGGGTATCCTCTTGTGCACCTACAGGTTGCCACTTTGATTCCCCATCAGAACACATGCCCAAGGTTGCGGGATCGGCTCCCATAGCTGACCGATGTTTCTCTTTCCCTCTTCTTCCTCTCGCTCTAAAATGAAAAAACAAAAACAAAAACAACAAAAACCATATTGAAAGCACAGTTGCCAAGAAGGGAAATCTGGTCAGAAGTAGTGGTAGGTTGCAGCTACCCAGCAGGTGGTGTTAGACAACCAGACTTTGCAAGATTTTTCAAAAACCATCTTCTTACTGATTCTTACTATACAGTTTCTATGTTAAATAAGCAGAAATCATAGACCTCAAATGGTTCCACTGTGGAGAAAACCTTTCTTCAAAACTGACACACTGTAAACCTCTGTACATTTCAGCCCACAGCTATCCCACCATCTTGGCTTCATGATCCTTTGCCATGGAAGAGGATGGAAAAAGACCATTCCTTTCCCATCACCAAGATCAGTGACATCCTCCTTAACTTCATTACATACCAAATTATACTGAATGCACATGACTTAATGTTTTTCTCAAGCCTTTTCCCTGAAGAACTTAAGGCTCAGACAGTTTGAAAGTAACACACAGTCGAAACCGGTTTGGCTCAGTGGATAGAGCGTCAGCCTGTGGACTGAAAGATCCCGGGTTCGATTCCGGGCAAGGGCATGTACCTTGGTTGCAGGCACATCCCCAGTACGGGGTGTGCAGGAGGCAGCTGATCGATGTTTCTCTCTCATCGATGTTTCTAACACTATCTCTCTGTAAAAAATCAATAAAATATATTAAAAAAGAAAAAGTAACACACAAAGTTAGTGGCAGAGCTGGATTCTCATTAGGAATCTAAACATGAGAGACATTGATAAGACTCATCTGTTCCATATTCCAGTGGAATCTGAATTACCTGTGATATCTCCAGAGGGATCAATGCCGCATGAAGAGCTTTGCCTTCCACCGCCTCTGCTGGCCCACCTGCAAAGGCAGCAAGCCCTTCTCAACCAATGTCCCCCGGGCTCCGGGTACAGCGGCAGCAACAATGTGCAAGCAAGACAGTCAAAGGCTGGAAAAGGAGGAGTCCTACAGTCTTTTGTGTACACAAAATGATTTCTCCGCACCCATCTTCAGCCCCACATCTAGCCCCTCTGACATCTCCTAAATGAGCTCAACACCTCGTTTCTCCTTCCTCTGTACAGTGATAGAATGATGCCAAGAAAGTGCAAATCTGATTGCAGCACTTTCCTGCTTAATGGTGCCCTAACGTTCACCACTGCCCACAGGACAGGCCCAAATTCCTTAGCTGACATAGAAGGCCTTCATAACCTGAACCCTGCCCACCTCGCCGGTCTCTCCTCCTCCACTTCCTGGGTCCAAACTATCTGCCTCCAAGTGCTAGACCTCCTTCACCCTCTGGGCTTTTGCTCTTCTGTTCTCCATTCAGGCCAGCGCCTGGGAGTCTCACTCCTGACCTGTCAAACCTAGCTCAGGCCTCAGCACATCCAGGATGTTTGCCCTCATCTCTGCGGATGGAGGGGTCATTCCTGGAAAACCCCAGCCCCACCCTCCTCAGCAATCAATCAGACACCCAATCACCTGCTCACCAACCAGTGGTGAAGCTGTTTCCATCATTCTCTAACTATTCTGCAAATGCCTCACCTAAAGAGCTAGGCTGAGAGTTTGGGACACGGACCAAAGTCCCAGTAACAGATCTCACCATTGTTCTGGGTCTAGGGTCAAAGGCAAAAGGACTCTGGGCAGCGCTGGGTCCAATGGACCATCAGGTCGTGAGCACCTTTCACCTGCAGGGATACCAGAAAGAAACTCGCTAAACACTGATTCACCTGCCTTTCAGCATAACCATTATTGCTTGTCTCATTTGCGATTCTTATATTTCCAGTAGGACATGATCTCACTCATCTAGGGGAAATGGTGAAGAACACAGACTAATGAACAAGAACAGACCCAGAGATATGGAGCCATGGGTCAGACTGTTGGATGGACCTCAGAGGGAGGGTGGGGATAAAAGGGAGAGATCAACCAAAGGACTTGTGTGCACATTTATGAGCCTAACCAGTGGTCAAGGACAATAGGTGGATGGAGGCATGAGTGGGGAGGGGTGGGGAATTGGAATGGGGGGTTGAGGACAAATATGTGATACCTTAATCAATAAAGAAATTAATTAAAAAAAAAAAAAAAAAAAAACAATTGAAGAACTTGCCGAAACCAGTTTGACTCAGTGGATAGAGCGTCCACCTATGGACTGAAGGGTCTGGGTACGATTCCGGTCAAGGGCATGTACCTTGGTGCCTGGGACGTCCCCTGTGGGTAGGCGTGCAGGAGGCAACTGATCGATGACTCTCTCTCATCGATGTTTCTGGGTCTCTATCTCTCTCCCTTCCTCTCTGAAAAAAAATCAATAAAATATGTTTAAAAAAAAAAAATGAATTGAGGAACTTGCCCAGCTGGTGTGGGTCAGTGGTTGAGCATAAACCTATGAATCAGAAGATCAAGATTCAATTCCCAGTCAGGGCATATACCTGGGTTGTGGGCTTGAGCCCTTCTCATTGATGTTTCTATCTCTTCCTCCATTCCCTTCTGTAATCAATTTTAAAAAAATGTATATTTAGCCAAAACCGGTTTGGCTCTAGGGATAGAGCGTCAGTCTGCGGACTGAGGGGGTCCTGGGTTCGATTCTGGTGAAAGCCATGTACGTTGGTTGTGGGCACATCCCCGGTGGGGAGTGTGCAGGAGGCAGCTGATCCATGTTTCTCTCGCATCGTTGTTTCTAGTTCTCTATCCCTCTCTGTAAAAAATCAATAAAATATATTTAAAAATATATGGATATTTTTTAAAAGAATTGAGAGATTTTTCTGCTCTCCCACACTGCCAGTATTATTGAAATAAATGCTCATATAAAAATAAAAAGAGCCGGGACTGGTTTGGCTCAATGGATAGAGCGTCGGCTTGGGGACTGAGGGGTCCCGGGTTCGATTCCGGTCTAGGGCATGTGCCTTGGTTGCGGGCATATCCCCAGTGGGGGGTGTGCAAGAGGCAGCTGATCGATGACTCTCTCTCATCGATGTTTCTGACTCTCTATCTCTCTCCCTTTCTCTCTGTATAAAATCAATAAAATATATTTAAAAAATAAATAAATAAATAAAAATAAAAAGAAAAGTAAAGGAATTGAAGAACTTAAGGCTCAAAGAGTTTGAGAGTCGCACACAAAGTTAGCGGCAGAGCTGGGTCTAAGACTCTTATCTTAAAAAATGACAACCAAGGATCAACTAGAACCATGACACTGTAACTGTGGTACCACCTGAAGGAAAACTCACCTGGATGAGCAGAGGCCAAGGCTCCACTGTTGAGGCCGAGCTTCCCTCTGCTTCTTAAAGTACAGCCGCCAGCGCCCTCGCCAGTGTGGCTCAGCTGGTTGGGAATCCTTTTGTGCACCTACAGGTTGCCACTTTGATTCCCCAACAGAACACATGCCCAAGGTTGCGGGATCGGCTCCCATAGCTGACCGATGTTTCTCTTTCCCTCTTCTTCCTCTCGCTCTAAAATGAAAAAACAAAAACAAAAACAACAAAAACCATATTGAAAGCACAGTTGCCAAGAAGGGAAATCTGGTCAGAAGTAGTGGTAGGTTGCAGCTACCCAGCAGGTGGTGTTAGACAATAACCAGACTTTGCAAGATTTTTCAAAAACCATCTTCTTACTGATTCTTACTATACAGTTTCTATGTTAAATAAGCAGAAATCATAGACCTCAAATGGTTCCACTGTGGAGAAAACCTTTCTTCAAAACTGACACACTGTGAACCTCTATATATTTCAGCCCACAGCTATCCCACCATCTTGGCTTCATGATCCTTTGCCATGGAAGAGGATGGAAAAAGACCATTCCTTTCCCATCACCAAGATCAGTGACATCCTCCTTAACTTCATTACATACCAAATTATACTGAATGCACATGAAGAACGTAAGGCTCAGACAGTTTGAAAAGTAACACACAAAGTTAGTGGCAGAGCTGGATTCTCATTAGGAATCTAAACATGAGAGACATTGATAAGACTCATCTGTTCCATATTCCAGCGGAATCTGAATTACCTGTGATATCTCCAGAGGGATCAATGCCGCATAAAGAGCTTTGACTTCCACCGCCTCTGCTGGCCCACCTGCAAAGGCAGCAAGCCCTTCTCAACCAATGTCCCCCAGGCTCTGGGTACAGCGGCAGCAACAATGTGCTAGCAAGACAGTCAAAGGCTGGAAAAGGAGGAGTCCTACAGTCTTTTGGGTACACAAAATGACTTCAAACCTTTACCCCCGCAGTTTGAAAGGTGCTTGCAGTCTACCATTTGGCACTTAGCAGGCTCGGTCTCATAGCTCAGGTCTCAGCACATCCAGGAACTGTTTGACATTGAAATTGGATCTCAAAGGAACTGGTGGCTCAGAAAGAAACTGGCTATAGACTGATTCATTTGCCTTTCAGCATAACCATTATTGCTTCTCATTTTCGATTCCTATAAGTATATTTCCAGTAGGACATGATCTCACTCATCTAGGGGAAATGGTGAACAACACAGATTGATGAACAAGAACAGACCCAGAGATAAGGAGCCATGGGTTACATCAAACTGTTGGACCTCAGAGGGAGGGTGGGGATAAAAGGGAGAGATCAACCAAAGGACTTGTGTGCATACATGAGCCAAACCAGTGGTGAAGGACAATAGGGAGCTGAGTGAATGATTAAGGAGGGGTGGGGGATTGGAATGGGGGATTGAGGACAAATATGTGATACCTTAATCAATAAGGAAATTTTTGAAAAATAAGATGTAAACATAAATGTGGTAATATAAAAATATAAGACAATATTAATTACCTATAAATTTTGTTATATACTTTTGTATAACAAATACATAATTGAATATATATTTCACATATTAAATTATATCATTAAACAAAAACAAGCAGCCAAAACCGGTTTGTCTCAGTGGACAGAGCATTGGCTTGCGGACAGAAGGGTCCCGGGTTTGATTCCAGTCAAGGACATGTACCTTGGTTGTGGGCACATCCCCAGTAGCGGGTGTGCAGGAGGCAGTTGATGTATGTTTCTAACTTTCTATCCCTCTCCCTTCGTCTTTGTAAAAAATCAATAAAAATATATTTTTTAAAACCCACAAAATTTATGAGAGCTCAAGAAAATTTAGGAATTGATTCAAAAAATTTTAAAAAAAGATAAAAAAGCAAATTGCAAGGATAAAGCCCCATGACATCAGGCCCTGGCCGCTACGTTCTGCCAAGTAGATCGCGAGCACCTTTCAAACTGCGCGGGTAAAACCCCATGAGACCCCGAGCCTGCTATGTGCGGCCTCGTAGACGGCAAGCACCTTTCAAACTGCGTGGGTAAAACCCCAAGACCGAGCCCTGCCCACTATGTCCCGCCGAGCACCTTTCAAACTGCGCGGGTAAAACCCGGAGACCATGCCCTGCCCACTATGTTCCGCGGAGCACCTTTCAAACTGTGCGGGTAAAACCCGGAGACCATGCCCTGCCCACTATGTTCCGCCGAGCACCTTTCAAACTGTGCGGGTAAAACCCGGAGACCATGCCCTGCCCACTATGTGCCGCCGAGCACCTTTCAAACTGTGCGGGTAAAACTCCATGAGACCGAACCCTGACCGCTACATGCCGCCCCTACGTGCCGCGGCGGCGATCAGTAGATCGCCAGAACCAAGTATCAAACTGCGCGGGCAAAACCCCATGAGACCGAGCCCGCTACGCGTTGCCGCATAGACGGCAAGCACCTTTCAAACTGCGCGGGTAAAACCCCATGAGACCGAACCCTGACGGCTACGTGCCGCCCCAACGTGCCGCGGCGGCGATCAGATCGCCAGTACCAAGTACCAAACTGCGCGGATAAATCCCGCAAGTGACAGGGCTCTGGCCGCTACGTGCCGCGTAGATCCGGTTCAAACCGCACAGGTAAAACCCATGAGACCGAGCCCTGCCCGCTACGTGCCGCCGCGTAAATCAGTAAATCGCCAGTACCAAGTACCAAACTGCGCGGGTAAAACCCCACGAGACGGAGCCCTGACCGCTGTGTGCCGACATGTAGATCGCGAGCACCTTTCAAATTACGCGGGTAAAACCCCGAGACCGGGCCCTGCCCGCTACGTGCCGCCCCTACGTACTGCCGCGTAGACGGCGAGCACCTTTCAAACTGCGCGGGTAAAACCCGGACAACGGGCCCTGGCCGCTACGTGCCGCCACGTAGATCAGATCTCCAGTACCAAGCACCAAACAGCGCGGGTAAAACCCACAAGTGACAGGGCTCTGGCCGCTACGTGCCGCGTTGATCCGGTTCAAACCGCGCCGGTAAAACCCGAGACCGGGTCCGCCTGCTACGTAGATCGTGCGCACCATTCCAATTGGGGGGGCGGGGACGGGGTAAAACCAATGAGACTGGACCCTGCCCGCTACGTGCCGGCGCCACGTAGACCGTGAGCACGCCCGGGCCTGCCGCTTTGTGCGGCTGCGTGCCGTCACGTGCCACCACGGGCCAATCACAACCTCGGTTTGAAAGACCGGTGTCACGTTCAGACCTATGTCACCGCCACGCAGGCACGCCGTGGCGTCAGCCATCTTGCCTACTGGTTCTTCCGCCGGAAGTCCACTCCCGGACCCCGCCCCTAACCCTCTAGCGCAGAAGCCTGCACCAATCAGGTTCCGCCGTTGCACAGTTGGGGGCTGGGGGGGCGCAAATTGAAAATGCAAATACATAGCCGCGTTACCCACGACCAGACCTTAAGGAAAAGTGAGAGCCGACCAAAACGGAACATTCCAAGGAATGGAATCACATGGGTGAGCCTGCCACGCTCAAGAAAAAAGGGAGGGTTCATGGAGGACAGGGAGGGCACGTAGACTGTTAGCCTTGGCCAGATATGGTTGTTTTGAGGACTAAAGGAACCACGAAACACTTAGGATTTGAGTAACTGTTTGCTGTTGCCACTCAAACCTCTTACCAAGTCTTTACCACTGCCAGGGGAAACCCCAAGTTGCATAACTTGGGGAACTGGACCTGCTGATCTGCACGCAGGACTGTTGTAGAAGAGAAATGGGATCCCTCCAGCACATCACGGAGGGAGGGGTCAAGTTCTGCATACCTCATGTCCTTCAGAAAACCCTGTATCAGATCCAAGGCCAGCTTTGATCAGATGCCTGTTCCTTTAAGTTAAATGGAGCAATTATAAAGTCCTCCCATAAACAGAAAGAAATGGGACAGTTATGCACACCTAGCTAACCCAAAATAGCCTGCTTATAACTGCAGGAAAGAATAAGCTATACAGAACTTCACTTGACCCTATTTACATCCTAAAATTACTTACAGTGAGAGATTTGTAGAATAAAACTGATCAGAGTACAACACAAGATAGGCAGTTTTATGGAGTTTTTTCTTTATTGTGAAACTTAAAGACTTAGATACATCAAATAAAACCAATTTCTGGGGAAGGGGGAAAGATCAAAACCCACAACAGGAGAAGAAAAAAAAAGTTAACACTGTCTGAGCCATAGCAGAACCCAGAGAATATATTTTTTTTAATTGAAAAATTCTAGGTGCTTCATAATTGACCTTTTGATACAAAATGACCTATTAAATTTGCAATTTGTGGTTCTTAGTGTTGAGGTCCATAGGACAAGCTAGGAAGTCTTCAAACCTTGAGCTGAATTTCATGAGGGGTTATTTGGCTTTTGAATCCTGAAAAGAAAGGTACCAACATAAATAATCAAAAGAACCTGAGATTCCCTGAAATCTCAGGCTGATAAAAGGTATTACAAAGCAAGGTTTCTCAACCTCAGTGCTCACGTTTTGGCCCTGGATTAAATTCTGCTGGGGCTATCCGGTGCAGTGTAGAATGTGTAGCAGCATCCCTGGCCCATACCCACTAGCTGCCAGTGACACACTCCCAGTTAGGAGAACCAGAAATGTCTCCTGACGTCGGCAAATGTCCTCTGAAGGGGCACACCTAGTTTAGAACCACAGGCTTTGAGGATAGTCTGTAAATTCTTACACACCCCCTCCTTCTGAGCCATCCTGTACTAAAAACTTGTACAGTTATATGGTTCTCTTGCTTAAATTCCAAATGACAAGCCAAGGAGCCATGGCTATTATGAGTCAACCCCAAACATCATACCAGCTCTATCCCTTACCACCTGCACTTTCCTTGACTGTGCCTCTGCTCATTTAGTTCTCTCCTTTATCAGCCTTTGTCGGAGGTCCTAGTTAAGCTTCACTCACCATCCCTTGCAGACAGGGACCATGGCCCCCCAAGTCCAGAAGATGACTGGAACACATGCTGTAATTAGTCAGGTGTGTGTCTGTC